CAACTAAATGGATCAACTACACAATCAATGCAACGGGTTCACCATGAAAATGTTTCGGTTYACATAATTTATTTGCAACATGAACCAGTTTCACGTTCATGAAACTTGTTTCATTTCTGGATTTTTTTTGTTCATCTACGATTTGATGATTTCATTATACACTTCAATCGTTTTATCAAGACTCGTTTGCCGATTCTTAAAGATTACAATTTATGAAATTCAAATTTTTAATATTATAATATAATTAAATATTTAAATGTTACCATTTATACAATTTCTTTTATTACGTTTCCTTAATTAAAATTTATTAATAACTTCCATATTTAATAGAAAATATTGTAAATGACTGAAATATCCTTATTGATTAATTTTAATTAGAAAAAAATTGAATTTTTCTATTGGTCGAAATTGGTTTACACGGTTTCTTAGAATGCACGGTTTTCATTTTGAACGTGCCCCTATATATATATATATATAAAATTATAACACCTATAATAAAATCCATGAAAAAACAAGTCATCTTCAATACACTTAGAAATGTGTACACTTTTAAAGCCAATTAAAATTACAGTTATATAAGTTATATTTAGGGGCCGTTTATCAAATACTTACCCAGTAAGTACTTACTGATAATGTAACACCCCCAAACTCACATTGCATATAACACATATTTTATTCATAGAATACATGTTCAAGCCCACAAAGGTCCATGATACAAGAGTCTAAATTACAAAATATACAACTCGAAAATTCCAAAATACATGCTCTTGTATTTATAACATCTATTCTCCAAAACATATCCCAACATGAACTTTATAAAGCTAAACACTTAAGAAAATAATTCAAATTTTTTCTTTTCCTTTACTGTCATTATAATTTGCATTTCCTACAACACATTTGAAAACACAAAATTGAGGGTTAGACCTAGAGGTCTAGTGAGATTTCCCTTTTTCTATGTAATTGCAGAGTGATAACCACAAAAACATTTATTTAAATAAAATCATTTCACATCTTAACATATAAATCCATAATTTGTTTGAGTCCATCGGACCTCTGGTTTCATAGACAGACTTAGAAAATATTTCAACAAACAAGAGGACCAGAGCTCCTCTGGTTCCTCTACCAGAGCTTCTGGTTCCTCTACCAGAGCTTCTGGTTAAGCCAACCAGAGCCTCTTACTCCGTAGAAATTCTCAAATAATTCATAGATCAATCTCAGGGATAACAAAATAGCTTTTCCATAGGTAAGAACACATTTTTGAAAAGATCTTGTATGCCCAGAGCTCTGGTTCTACTAGCAGAGCTTCTGGCTCAAATCGCAAGATTCAACCAGAGCTTCTGGTTCAACCCGCATAGGTCAACCAGAGCTTCTGGTTCAACCCGCGTAGGTCAACCAGAGCTTCTGGTTCAAAGTGTAAGACTAATAAGAGCCTCTGGTCCAACCCGCATAGGCTAACCAGAACTTCTGGTCCATCTTACTTGTAAGAAAACTTCCTAAGTATAAAACCTTTTTTTGAAAATTCTTAAAATCTAATTTTAACGCAGAAGCTCTTATCTATAGATACAGAGCCTCTGGTATACTAAAAACATTTAGTAGAGACTTGCATAATTTAATAGATCAACGACCAGAACCATCTGGTTTTATAACGAGGACCAACCAAATCCCCTCTGGTCCCCTTCAAGGAACAACAAGAGCCTCTCTGGTTCCTCTAAAATCAACCTCTTGATCCAAAACAGGTTTTTATCCAAAACCAATAGCCATAGGCCAAGTTTTCCCCTTTTCAATAACATCAATATTATTATTTCTAATAAGAACAACATCTCTGAGTTCTCAAATCATAAAGAAGCAAGATCTCACATCTATTGTAATCTTTAAAGACATAATAACAAAAGCTATAATAACCACACACAATTACCACCCTTATATCCAAAGGTACACCTCTCCTTGATAAGCCACCCTTATAGCCGAAGGTACACCTCTCCTTGATATGTCACCCTTATTTCCTCATCAAAATCTACGGATTAGTTCCAAACAAAGACAGATCGAAGTCACAACCGTCTTGATGAAACATCTTCCATAGTTTTATCCACAAAATCTATAGGTTAATCCCAAATGAAGACAGACCGAAGTCACAACCGTCTTGATGAAATGTCCTTTATAGTTTTCAACCAATAATAGTTTCCAAATATAGTTTTATCATCAAAACCTTCAAACTCAAGAACAATTTGTCTTTTCATAAATTTCCACATATCAAATCCCTGTTTAATACTTTAAAACAGAATATCATATTCCAAAACAGTTTTAAAACACAGTTACTGTTTCATCTTTCCAAAACAGTTTCAAACTCCAAAATTATAAACACTTCGCTTAAACTGTTAGAAAACAGTTTTACCAAATTAATTCTAAATCACAAATTCCTAAACCCAACTGTTTATATAACTACAATTATAAAGGTTTTAATTTAACAAAACTCATCTTAACAAAATAGATTTTGCAGGTTTAAATACACAACAAGTCTTTCAACCGCACACAGTTTCTTTTTCAAGAACACTTTTACCGCCTCAAGCTCCTTTCTCTCTCAAAATACTTTTCCAAAAATAGAAGGATAATATAAGATTTTTATCTTATCTTTTTTTATACTTCTCATTAAGGCGGTGATAATATTTTACCAATATAAAACTCCTGGGTGGTGGAAACTTTAATATTTTAAAATCAATCATTTCTTAACCATGAAGGTTGTGTTTTTAAATGTTATAATAATATTTTCACATAACATATTATCACATATCTGCCTATCCCCATTTAACATTTCCACATGTATGCCCAGTATCACATTATCGCACATATGCACATAATCCACACATTTATATTAAAACATCATGCATGTTTATCACATAATTCCTATAATAATCACGTATAGCTTACCTCAACCCAAGTTGTCTGAAACCCGGTTATAACAGATAAAATTTAACACTATTATGTACTTACCGGGTAAAATTTTAGTCCATCAAAACGACATAGTATACAACAATTTACGCTTTAAGCGCTTACTATAGTAAGAGTCGTCGCCCTCACTTACCGGGTAAGACTCTTGATCCTTACTATATTCATCCAGTGAGGTAATATTACTTAGTAAGCGCTTACTCGGGTAAGTATTTGGTAAACGGCCCCTTGGTATAACTTCCTTTTGGAAAATTAAAATAGAGGTTAAATTAGTAAATGTGAAGGTTAAAAGGTGCTCTATAAATTGTTTTTGTAATTTAGGAGTCGTTTACCAAACGTTCCGGATTACTTATCTTACCGGATCAACATAAAGACCGACAATCTTACCTGGTAAGAACAAGGGAAATGATCGAGAGCCTTACCTTGTAAGTGAGAGTGATAAATCTTACCCGGTTGACGCTTACCGAGTAAATTATTGCATAGAATACTGTTTTGAGGGACTATAATCTTACTTGGTGAGGTAAATGAGAGTGTTGATTCTTACCGTTAAGCACTTACATGCAAGAGAAATTACTCCCACTTACTTTATCATGTAATATTATTAGACATCAAATGGATTGTTAGTAACAGTCTTAAACCTAGACGCTTACCGGGTAAGAGTCTTTTCCTTCACATAACATGTAAGATTCTCGGTTCTTGTTATGCTTCTTACCGGGTAAGATTCTTGGTTTTTATCATGCTCAATCGGTAGGTAAGTGATATCGATAAACACTTACCCGTTAAGCACTTAGTAAACGGCCCTTTAGTCTTTTAAAATATATAATTATTGACGGTGGTAAGAAATGGAAAATAAATCAAAGTACAAGGTCCAATTGGCAAGTAGCTTGAAGTTTGTGACAAAATTGATATAACTAAATAGTTTAGGGTTTCTTTTGGCATTTACTCTATTTCTATATACACGATGTTTGTTTCACTTTCATCTGGAAATCCTCTCATATTCACGTACACTCCTCCATCTTCACCGTCACCGGCCACCGGAATCCCACGTGACTGGGCCGTTCTCGTCCTCATTTGCGCAACACTTCTTGATATCCAATAGAGATCAAATAGTGAATTCATCGTTGCAATTCAACGAATGCAGGCACCCCGTTTTGGCAAATTAGGTGATCTATCATCAGCATTGATTTTCATATGTATACAATATACGTGTGATTGTGTGAAATTTCATCGACATATTAATGAATTACTTGGTGTATAACTTTCTGGAGTCCAATTTAGTTGGTTGTTCACCATTGATTGATTTGTCTTGATTCTGGATTTGCTAGTATGAGGAGTTTGACAGAATTTTGGTGTTAGATAGCGAGGGAAATGGAGAAGGCTGGTACTATGGACTACATCAACCAGATGTTTCCTACAGGTTAGTTTATTTCACCTTCTGTGTGTATGCCTCTGTTTCGAGATAGATCACTTTGAGTTTGAGACACTGATTCCGCAATATATAGACAAGTGTTTGTGTAATCGAAGGACATTATGCATATACAGTAGTTATTTCGTACTCGAAGGACATTATTCACGTGAGTTTGTTAGAGCGACGTGAATTCGATTCGTTTATTTGGTTGATGAAACATTTCGCATGGTAGATGGACTGGATACTCGGTGTGATTGAGATTATTACTATTATTTGCCTTGGGGCAGTTGTATTAGGACACATACTTTTTAGGCACTTTTTGCTGTCCATGACTCCATGTTTGTTCTTTAGTTGTGATCACTATTATTCAGCTCTGTACACACCCATGTTGCCTCCAGTAGTGCCATGGATTCTGCAGTGATTTACATCATTCCTGACCACCACCTAGTTAGGGCTAGCTTGACAGCATAGACAAATGCAAATGTCTATATCATCAAATATAAATTAAATTTGAGACTTCTTCAAAATTTCGAAGATTATAGGATTAGACCTGGTCTTTTCCATTACATCACTTACAACTGCTTACTGAGTTCTTATTTTTTAAACTTACGATGTGGAACTTGGTCTCGGTTCAGAAGCATCTTTATCAGGTGTTGAGCCACTTATGCAGAAAATACACAGTGAGATCCGTGTCGTGGATGCTGAAATTCTTGCTGCTGTCCGTCAACAGGTTACATAAATACAATTTCTGGCTCCTCTTTCTCAAGTTATAAACCTAAGTTACAGCTGGAGTTTAAGATAGTTCCACCTTCAAGTGTCGGTATATTTTGTGTTTTAATGGTTATCATCATTTAAAGATTTTAGGTTTAACAGTTTATCGAAGTTGATAATTTTGCCATTCATTTATTTATTTGGGGCAACCTAAGTAACATGATTGCTGAATCTTTCATATACAGAGTAATTCAGGAACCAGGGCAAAGGAGGATCTTGCTGCAGCTACACGTGCTGTGGAGGTCAGTCAACATTCAATCTTTTGTTGGCAATTGAGAACTATTCTTTTATTTCCATTTCCATTGACCTTGTTGTTTCCATGAATTATGCTCTTATTATTTCCAGTGCTACATTGGGTTTTATTGCAGGAACTCATGTATAAGGTCCGAGAAATTAAAACTAAAGCCGAGCAAAGTGAAACAATGGTTCAAGGAATATGCCGTGACATTAAAAAGCTTGATTCTGCAAAGAAGCACATTACAACCACCATCACGGCCCTCCATCGTCTTACAATGCTAGGTTGGTTTCATCTGGTTTTGGTATAAGTTTTGCAGTTTTATTTGACTTGTAAAACACGACTAAGCAAGTGTTTCTTTGTAAGCAGAGTGACTGTGCACCAGCTCCTTGAGCATCATTTCTACCATTCCTTGTCTGATTCTATCTTGCTATACAGGAACTTTTACAAGTTCACAGTTGGACCAGTATGTGTTTACTATAATTCCCCAAAAAGTTGCATCATCAAAGACCAGGAATTTCTGTACAGTTATTCACCACATTGCTGTCATTATCTCATAAGGATTTTTTTTTGTGTCGAAAGAGAGACAAGTTCACCAACTAGGATCTTTATGCTTTCATATTTTGTATACTTTTCCGACTTAACTCTTATGACATATTTTCCCCAAGTGAAAGGCTACATTTGTTTCCATCATCGTTATGTATAATTATATTTCAGTACACAAAGCAACAGAGTATTTGAGATCCTTTTGTGATGAAAATACTCAGAGCTTGCTTTGTTAGTGCCCTTCTTGTTTTCTTTGGTTCCATATTATAATATGTTTTTTTATTAACCTAGATATCCAACTTGCTATGCGAGCCGACTAAGCCGAGAGTCACCGCATTTGAACCTCCGTGGCCACAAGGGAATTTCTATTCCTCCTTGGATTCGAACTTGGGACCTCCAGACACTTTTGACCTTTGGAGCCCAAGCTCAAACCAATCGGACACCAACCTTATGCTTAATATGATATAATGTTAATCTTGGTAGAAAAGCACCTATCAAGGGCCAGTTTTAAACTATTATCATCATGAAAGAAAATGGAAATCGCTTAAAAGAAAATGAAATAAACAAATTAGTTCTTTGCTTGGTTGAAGGAGAAATGAGTTCTGACCTTTAAATGCGATATAACAAAAAGGGAAAAAGGGAAATTTTACCCTGTGACTCCTAATCCCCAACATGCTGCCTGTTGCTGATGTGGATTCTTCTTAGTGCTTTTGTGTTCCCTTTTTTATTAATGTATGCACTTTTTTTTGTATAAGGTAACCTTCTGCTTCTGCCTAACCTACCTCTCCATTAGATTTAGTTGACAGAAGAACTAGTTAATGGACAGATGTTCACCGTGTTAACATTTTTGTTACAAAATCTGATCATGTTGGACGCTTGCTATCTAGAGGATAGAAGAGATTGCTTTTCTTTGTCTTCCATCAGATGTTGCTTGTTATTCAAATTTCCTGTAAGGGTTTCTTTTCAGATGTCCAGTGATATCTTAGTTTTTTTATCAAGAGTTCCAGAAATGGATTGTTTACCACACCTTTTTTTGTGTTTCTGCAACTCAAGAACTGATCAAAGAAAAAGGTGGAATTAACTACAAACTTTTTATTGCCTAGATGCATCTTTGAAGTAATGCTTAGTGCATGCTCACTATTTTTGACGAAGTATCTTATGTTTTCTAAGTGCTACCGGCTACGTTAGAAGATATTCTTCCGATACACAGTCATCAGTCATATGTCTAGTTTCTTTGCATCTAACACTCTTACTGCAATATCCTACGTGTGACAGTCTCTGCCATCGAGCAACTTCAAGTAATGGCTTCAAAACGACAATATAAAGAAGCTTCTGCGCAGCTAGAGGTATGTAAGCTGGTTATAGATTAAGTTCTCATCAACAAATACATAAGTACCACTTGTACCCCATGTATATTAAAATACTCAAGGATAAAGAATATACCCTACCATATATTGTTAACTGATACATAACATTGCCCATATCGAGTTAAAGGTAGTGTAGATATGGTTAGCTTTGCTATATGATTGATAGCTTCCATAAATGCACTTTTTGGGAAAGTACCCAGTGAAATATTTGCTTAAGTGCTGAATTATGTAATGAACAGCACGGTTATCAAGGATGTTGATTGACATGTACAAAGCTCTGGTTCTTAATTGAATATCAAAATGTTATAAGGTTGAGTTTCTTAGAGTTATCCAAATTGGCAACTTTCAACTGGATACAGGCATGCTCCACAGTTTTGAAATTGCATGCGCTGTCTGTCATCAACAATCTGTAAGTAAAGGATTTTGATGCGTAAAAGTCTCCCAATTTCCCAACTGCTATCTTCATGCCCTGAAGAGAAACAAAAAAAATTAATGAAAGAAAACTCAATTTCAATGGATAAGCTATGCAGAAGAATGAATACATCATTTCCGTTACTTCCTTATGCTCAATGTATTTAAAATTGTTAGCCTCCTTCTTGTTGCTTAAATTAATCCCATAAGAAATTGTGTTGTGGTGTCTAATATACATGATTTTATGTTTTTTAGGCTGTCAACCAGTTATGTAGTCATTTTGATGCCTACAGAGATATTCCGAAGATTGCTGAGCTGAGAGACAAGTTCAAGAACATTAAACAAATTCTCCAGTCTCACGTGTTTTCTGATTTCTCCAGGTCTGTGAATTTGAAATTCTGTGGAAATTTTACTAGTATTTTGTTATATTTTGATCTTGAACATGCTGAATTTATATGTAGCCTGGTCATGCTGGTACTTTTTCCTTGTGATCTATTGTTGTTTGAAGTTTTCTTGTGAAATATCACTAATCTGTACATTCAGAACTTCAGATTTCTCGAGTTTAAGATGTTATCTTACATCTCTCTTTGCAATTCTTAACCCCAAGGTTTTGGTCAATCACCCACCCCCTGCTTTTATTGTTTCCATCATTCTTTGTACTATTCTAAAATATTCTTTTCTCCAATCCCTCCTAACACAGTTCTTTGATATCATATTCAGAGCACCATTGTGCTTTTCATGGTAACTTGCTATGTATGTCATCAAACTTATCTGTACCCTGGTAAGTTTAATATTCCTTATTTCATTCTATCCCAGCTTAGGTACTGGAAAAGAGGCAGAGGAAAGTAATTTGCTGAAGCAATTGTCAGATGCTTGTTTGGTTGTTAATGCATTGGAGCCATCGGTGAGAGAAGAATTAGTGAAGAACTTCTGCAACAGGGAGCTTATATCTTATCAACAGATATTTGAAGGAGCTGGTTTGTTTTCAATAACTATAGTGGTACCTAAAGCTTAGTTTGATGTCCTCGATTCTGAAGACTTATTTCATTTTTTTCAGAGCTGGCAAAGTTAGATAAAACAGAGAGGAGATATGCTTGGGTCAAACGCAGATTACGAACAAATGAGGAGATATGGAAAATATTTCCTGCTTCATGGCACGTTGAATATCTGCTGTGTATTCGGTTTTGCAAATTGACCAGGTTTGTTGTTTTCTGTTCCCAGATACAAGGAAAGGTGTGTACTTCTTAATCCATATGAACCTTGTATTCCTCTGTACAAAATAAGTATTCGTCTTTGATTTCTTGCAAGTCTTGGTATCCGCATCTGAGAAATCTAGCGTAGATTGGTTTTGCTTTTCAGTGTTCCTTCGTCAAATGCAAGAATAATTTCTTAGGAAGTGTAAAAACACTAGGTTTAGTACATATAACCTAAAGCTATATTGAGATGGAATAGTTTACAAGTTAGGAGCAATGAAAGGTCATACAATCTTTGTGTACAAACATATGATCTCTACTTGACTTTGTCTGAGATCAGTCAAACAAACTTGTGATATGCTAATAGTTTTCAGTCGTTTTATGAATATGTAATGTGCCTGCTATATTCATCTTTGGCTGAACTAATTGAGCCACTCTCTGAGTGGTGCTGCTACTAAGCTAGCTCCTGAATATGCCTAAAAGTTATAGAAGGTCGTTGATCTTTAATAAACATTACAAGGGGATCTTCTATATTCTCTCTTCTCTATTTATTGAGAAATGGAGTTGTTTGTACTTTGTTGGCATCACTGAAGTCAGAAGCTAGTAAAATACTCCATAAAACTTCAACAGAATTGGTCAGTTTGCATCTTATCATGTTTGTCTAATTACATGTCACGTACTGAGAGCTGATAAATAGTCAGAATTAGATGAATGCTGTTTTCCCGTCAAAGCATTGCGAACTGTCCACTATCTGCCAGAATTTTCTAACAAAAAGTAGCATCCATTAGATTAATTTTGCATCGCTGGACGGTGATGCATTGAATGGATCATTTTATATATAACTCAGCCTACGGATGTGTTTTCCACATAGACACGCACATAAAATATACATATATGCATATTTAGTGCTGTTCTTTTGTCCATTTTTTCACTTGGAGAACCTATTATTCCTTTTTTAATGATTGGATAAGGTTAGCACTTCTTTTCTCGCAAGTCATATGCTGTTTTATACTTGCCAATGTCATACACCATTGCTCATGCTCTGTCTTCTAGATAAATTGCCGTACCAGAATTTCTGAGCTCATTGACAGATTTCCTTGATTTTAGAACACAACTTATGGAGATCTTTATAAGCTTGAAAGAGAAGCCAGACGTTGGAACACTACTTCTGGTAAATGCCGAAGTAACATTACTTGATTGTTGTCTTTATCCACAAACCTATTTTTGGCCGTGCATTCGACCAACATTTATTTGTGCCTTTTGCTTGATTTTTTATACTTGAGAATGCCTTTCTTGTACCTTTCCTTGCTTCCATATTAGGGTCCATTTTTTCAACTTATTGATCTTTACGGGATATTTGTACTAATGATTCAACCTCCTCCAGAGGAGCAACTGCAAGAGTTAACTTCACCATCCCTTACAGGCAAAGAGATGTGCCAAAAAATAGCGCCTGACAGTCATATTCCATTCCCCTTTGGATTTTATGGGACCCATTTTCATGGTTTGAGGATAGAAGAGATGGGACCAACAAAAATGGAGGAAACAGGACAAATGTATGGACCCTCTATGTTTGAAGTTTACAACACCTTGGCTCCAATATCGTCATTAAGCGTTCATAATCTTTATTGTGTTTGTCTCCAGGATTATGTTTAGGTTTTGTATATTTTGTTGTCTGTCCCCATATATTGTATATTATTAAAAAATTAGCATGCCACTTTGGATACTCCGATTGGCTATACCTTTATACTGTTTTGATGTTCACTGTTACCATGAAGCTAAGTGGTATTTGTCATGTGAAGAGATGATCAGTTTTCTCATTGCAAATGTTGTTGGCCTGGCATGGTATTTGGTTAATTACTATATGCATGAGAGTTGTTAATTATTTTCTCCAGTCATTCTGGAATTTTGTTAGCCCTGTAATTTAATACGCTTTCTTGTCTTTAGCCTTCTGAACTAATTTGGAATAAAAGGTTGGTTGTTGCTTTCTTAGGCAAAGTCATTGTAGAAATAGTAGGTTCTTAGTTCGTTTTCCTTCTTTTGCATTTTGGTTGAATCAATACCTGTATATGGCCCTTGAGCAGTTCAGTTTCTTAATTCTTCATGGCCCTTGTTCCTGGAAAATATCTGCAGGCATTGCAACGGACAATAGAATTCGAGGAAGAATTAGCAAAGAAATTCAGTGGTAGTGGTAGTGGTAGTAGCAAAAGCGTTGAGAGTGACATTGAGGAAATAGATAAAAGGGAAGGCAATAATCAAACTGTGATGGATATACGAAAGAAATATGAGAGAAAACTTGCTGCACATCAAGGAAACGAAGATGATGTATGTGACACTGATTACACTTTGCAATGCCGTTTTTAATTTCGTTATGACTGTTTCTGATTGGGGTTACATTTTACATACCAATTCTCTGATGTCAGGATAAAGATGTAAACAAAGATTTGGCTGTACCTGGAGCTGGGGTATGTTTTTAACTTTGAACTGGTGTCATTGTGGCTTAAATGTGATATCCTACTTATAGAAAAAAAGGTGTTTCCTATTTGACAGATATTTACTCTTATGATATGTTGTTTTTGAAGTGTTGGCCCACTGATTGCACTATTTACATGATGATGTGGAAAAAAGAATCTTAAGAAATAAAGAAATTCGAAGAAGTGATAAACTTGCAACATCCATCATCACTGCAATGCTACTCTTCAATTTTATATTCATGATAAATTGTTTATGTATCAGATTCATCTCCCCTTCAAATATGTATTGTTAGTTGTAAATAGCTATAGCTTAGGGATCTGTATGTAATTTATTATTGCTTATTAGTCCCTCTCTAATCCTATAAATAGAGGGCTCATCTAG